GAAGTTCGTGCGTGGCGACCCAGGGGGAGGCCCACCGTCACCTTGTTCCGGAGTCGGCGCGTCCTCGCCTCCTCCTTGCGGCGCTCCCGCTCGCCGTCGCGGTCGGGCGAGCGGCCGTCCGGCCTCCCCTCGCTCTCCCCGCGCTCTCCCCTCGCCCGCCCCCCCTCCACCTCCCTCGGGGGCCTCCGCGCCGCCGCGGCGTTCGGCGCCCGGAGCCTCCCCTGGTCGGCGCCGGCGTCCGGCCGGGGTTCCCGGTGCTGCTGCTGCTGCTGGTGGTTGTGGTGGTGAGGAGCAGGCCGGCCCGGGGGCAGTGCGGATGGCCTCACGGAACGGGCGCCGCCGCCGGAGTCCCTCGCGCTCGGCGGTCGAGCGGCGTCCCTGGTCGGGCCCTCCCTGCCGCCGCCGCCGCCGCCGCCGCCGCCGACGTCCCGGTCTTTTGCCGCCTCCTTCGCTCCGTCTCTCTCCCCGCCTCGACTCGAGAGGAATCTCCCTCCCCCTCCTCCTCCCCCTCCACCTCCTCCACCACCTCCTCCACCTCCTCCTCCTCCCCCGCCGTCCTCGCCGCGCTCGTCCCTGCCGCTGGGCTGCGCCCTCTCGGCCCGCTTGCGCCGGCTCTCCTCCCACCCGCGGGGCCGCGTGCGCTCCCGCGGCCAGCCGGCGGCCTCCCGCCCCTCGGAGTCGGCGGGCGACGCCGGGGGGCCGGGGGCCGCCGAGGCGGCGCCCTGAGGGGGCGGCGCAGGGGGAGGAGGCGACGGCGGCGACGGCGACGGCGCCGCCGCCTTGGCCTCGGAGGGGTCGGCGGGGCCGCGCTTTTGCAGCAGCTGGGAGGTCGCGCGCGGACGCACGGACGCACAGACACACAGAGACACAGACACACAGAGACACAGACACACAGAGACACACAGAGACACAGACAGAGACACAGAGACAGAGACACAGAGACACACAGACAGAGACACAGAGACACACAGACACAGACACACACACAGACACACAGACACACACACAGACACACAGACACAGACGCACAGACACACACGCAGACGCACAGACACACAGACACACACACGCACAGACACACAGACACACAGACACGCAGAAGCACAGACACACAGACGCACGGACACAGACACACAGACACACGGATACAGACACACAGACACACGGATACAGACACACAGACACACAGACACACAGACGCACGGACACAGACACACAGACGCACGGACACAGACACACAGACGCACGGATACAGACACACAGACACACAGACGCACGGACACACAGACACACAGACACACAGACGCACGGACACAGACACACAGACACACAGACGCACGGATACAGACACACAGACACACAGACACACAGACACACAGACGCATGGATACAGACACATGGACACACGGACACAGACACACAGACACACGGACACATGGACACACAGGCACGTTGACACACAGACAAGCGGACACACAGACACACAAACACGCACACGCACAAGGCAACCTGTTTATATTGTACATAGGCCGCCGTGCAGGAATAATAATGGATATGTAATCATCTCTGTAAACACGCGTAGCACTCGCACGCACGCACGCACGCACACACGCACACACGCACACACGCACGCATGCACGCACACACGCACACACGCACGCGCAAAAAAAACAACAAAGATCCCCCATATAGCCTTAACAGACTGTAGGGGCAAGTGCTGTCAGCGAGCAGCACCTATTAAGGCCGGCACTGTGGCACACGAGGGGGTGGGTGGCCACCAGCACCACGCCCGGCCACCTTTGTCTCCCCCCAGTGGCGATGTTCACTGCACACCGCCACACCAGCTACTCGTTTGAGGCTGAGTCGACGTAGGGGAGGCCCAGGACCGGTTCAGATAATCGTCACCGGCGGTGTTGGCTGTGTCGCCGGGTTCACAGGGCAGAGCAGCGCTAACCGCTACACTAGCGCTCCCCACGCACAGAGACACGCGCACACAGAGACACACACAGAGACACAGAGACACACACAGAGACACAGAGACACACACAGAGACACACACAGAGACACACACAGAGACACACACAGAGACACAGAGACACACACAGAGACACACACAGAGACACAGAGACACACACAGAGACACACACAGAGACACACACAGAGACACAGAGACACACACAGAGACACACACAGAGACACAGAGACACAGAGACACACACAGAGACACAGAGACAAAGAGACACACACAGAGACACACACAGAGACACAGAGACACACACAGAGACACACACAGAGACACAGAGACACACACAGAGACAAACACAGAGACACAGAGACACACACAGAGACACACACAGAGACACAGAGACACACACACAGACACACACAGAGACACACACAGAGACACAGAGACACACACAGAGACACAGAGACACACACAGAGACACACACAGAGACACACACAGAGACACACACAGAGACACACACAAGAGACACAGAGACACGTACACACACACAGAGACACACACAGAGACACACACAGAGACACACACACAGACACACACACAGACACGTACGCAGGGCACGGCCTCACCTTGACCGTCATGGCGGGCGCGCCGCCCTGCGTGCCGTGGGGACCCTTGTGGACGGCGCCGTCTCTCTCGCGCTGGCGCTCCGTCCGCCGTGGCCGGGCCTCGGGCCTGACCCTCCGCGCGCCTCCCCCGCGGACGGCGGCGTCGTCCGCGGCGGCGGCGGCGGCGATGCCGGCGGCGTCGTCCGCCGCCGCCGCCACCGGCGTCGCCGCGCCGCGATAGCGCCGCCGCGGGTCGTGCCCGGAGATGGCGCCGCCGCCGCCGCCGCCGCCGCCGCCGGCCGCCACCGATCGGCGAGAGTCAACACGGCGCCGATCGGCCCAGCGCTCCTCCCTCGCTCGCTGGTGACAGCGGTGAGGGCGGTGAGGGCGGTGAGGGCGGTGACGATGGCGGAGGCAACATGCAACACTCGGTCACACACTCACTCACGTACACTCAGTCACACACACACACACACACGTACACCCGGACACACACACACGTACACTCAGTCACACACACCCACTCATACACTCGGTCACACACACACACACGTACACCATGTACACTCAGGTCACACACACATACACACACGTACACTCGGTCACACACTCACGTACACTCAGTCACACACACACACACACGTACACCCGGACACACACACACGTACACTCAGTCACACACACCCACTCATACACTCGGTCACACACGCACACACGTACACCATGTACACTCAGGTCACACACACATACTCACACGTACACTCGGTCACACACTCACGTACACTCAGTCACACACACACTCACGTACACTCAGTGACACACACACACTCACGTACACTCAGTCACACACACACATACACTCGGTCACACACACACGTACACTCAGTCACACAGACACACGTACATTCGGTCACACACTCACGTACACTCAGTCACACACACACTCACGTACACTCAGTGACACACACGCACTCACGTACACTCGGTCACACACACATACACTCGGTCACACACACACGTACACTCAGTCACACACACCCACTCATACACTCAGGTCACACACACACACATACACACATGTACACTCGGTCACACACTCACGTACACTCAGTGACACACACACACACACGTACACTCAGTGACACACACACACCTACACTCGGTCACACACACACGTACACTCAGTCACGCACACACGTACACTCAGTCACACACACCCACTCATACACTCAGGTCACACACACACACATACACACATGTACACTCGGTCACACACTCACGTACACTCAGTGACACACACACACACACGTACACTCAGTCACACACACACACCTACACTCGGTCACACACACACGTACACTCGGTCATACACACACACACGTACACTCGGTCACACACACACGTACACTCAGTCACACACACGTACACTCGGTCACACACACACGTACACTCGGCCACACACACACGTACACTCGGTCATACACACACACACGTACACTCGGTCACACACACACGTACACTCAGTCACACACACGTACACTCGGTCACACACACACGTACACTCGGTCACACACACACGTACACTCGGCCACACACACACGTACACTCGGTCATACACACACACGTACACTCGGTCACACACACACACACGTACACTCGGTCACACACACACACACACACGTACACTCGGTCACACACACGTACACTCAGTCACACACACACACGTACACCATGTACACTCAGGTCACACACACACACATACACACACGTACACTCAGTCACACACTCACGTACACTCAGTCACACACACACACGTACACCATGTACACTCATGTCACACACACACACACGTACACTCGGTCACACACACACACGTACACTCGGTCACACACACACACACGTACACTCGGTCACACACACGTACAACACTAAATCTACCTGTTTCTCCAGCATTTTGTTCTTGATATATTCCAGCAGAGGTGTCGATTTATTCGCTGCAACACAAACAACAAAGTGCGGTGTTAACGCGTGGCGGCGGTGTCCGCTACGTTGCATAACGGCGCTGTTACACAGCTCGGCGAGCAGCGGACGGACATCACGAACGTGCGCCACTAGAGCTACCCACCGCCTCCACTCCTCTCTCTTCGGACTCACTGCCCATCTCCCATCACCCCCAGACTCACTGCCCATCTCCCCATCTCCCCATCACCCCCAGACTCACTGCCCATCTCCCACAGACTAACTGCCCATCTCCCCATCTCCCCACCACCCCCAGACTCACTGCCCATCACCCCCAGACTCACTGCCCAATCTCCCCATCACCCCATCACCCCCAGACTCACTGCCCATCACCCCCAGACTCACTGCCCATCTCCCCATCACCCCATCACCCCCAGACTCACTGCCCATCACCCCCAGACTCACTGCCCATCTCCCCATCACCCCATCTCCCCCAGACTCACTGCCCATCACCCCATCACCCCCAAACTCACTGCCCATCACCCCCAGACTCACTGCCCATCACCCCCAGACTCACTGCCCATCTCCCCCAGACTCACTGCCCATCACCCCCAGACTCACTGCCCATCTCCCCCAGACTCACTGCCCATCACCCCCAGACTCACTGCCCATCTCCCCCAGACTCACTGCCCATCACCCCCAGACTCACTGCCCATCACCCCCAGACTCACTGCCCATCTCCCCCAGACTCACTGCCCATCTCCCCAGACTCACTGCCCATCTCCCCCAGACTCACTGCCCATCTCCCCATCACCCCCAGACTCACTGCCCATCACCCCCAGACTCACTGCCCATCACCCCCAGACTCACTGCCCATCTCCCCCAGACTCACTGCCCATCACCCCCAGACTCACTGCCCATCTCCCCCAGACTCACTGCCCATCACCCCCAGACTCACTGCCCATCTCCCATAACCCCCAGACTCACTGCCCATCACCCCCAGACTCACTGCCCATCACCCCCAGACTCACTGCCCATCACCCCCAGACTCACTGCCCATCACTCCCAGACTCACTGCCCATCACCCCATCACCCCCAGACTCACTGCCCATCTCCCCATCTCCCCCAGACTCACTGCCCATCACCCCCAGACTCACTGCCCATCTCCCCCAGACTCACTGCCCATCTCCCCATCTCCCCCAGACTCACTGCCCATCACCCCCAGACTCACTGCCCATCACCCCCAGACTCACTCCCCATCTCCCCATCACCCCCAGACTCACTGCCCATCTCCCCCAGACTCACTGCCCATCTCCCCCAGACTCACTGCCCATCTCCCCCAGACTCACTGCCCATCTCCCCCAGACTCACTGCCCATCACCCCCAGACTCACTGCCCATCTCCCCCAGACTCACTGCCCATCTCCCGAGTCCGGGCTTCCACCTCCTCCAGCAACTGCTCGGGGTTCTTGGCTCCTCCGTCGTCGGTCTGCTCCCTGCAGCTTTCCAGGAAGCGCGAGAAGTCTTCATCTGTCGTGGCGGCGTCGCGATCAATCACAACAACAACAAAAACATGTGATTAGAGTCAGGCTTCAGGTCAAGGGTCAGGCTGCAGGTCAAGGGTCAGGCTTCAGGTCAAGGGTCAGGCTTCAGGCCAAGGGTCAGGCTACAAGTCAAGGGTCAGGCTACAAGTCAAGGGTCAGGCTACAAGTCAAGGGTCAGGCTTCAAGTCAAGGGTCAGGCTTCAAGTCAAGGGTCAGGCTTCAAGTCAAGGGTCAGGTTTCAAGCCAAGGGTCAGGTTTCAAGCCAAGGGTCAGGCTACAAGTCAAGGGTCAGGCTTCAAGTCAAGGGTCAGGCTTCAAGTCAAGGGTCAGGCTTCAAGCCAAGGGTTAGGCTACAAGTCAAGGGTCAGGCTTCAAGCCAAGGGTCAGGCTACAAGTCAAGGGTCAGGCTACAAGTCAAGGGTCAGGCTACAAGTCAAGGGTCAGGCTTCAAGTCAAGGGTCAGGTTTCAAGCCAAGGGTCAGGTTTCAAGCCAAGGGTCAGGCTACAAGTCAAGGGTCAGGCTTCAAGTCAAGGGTCAGGCTTCAAGTCAAGGGTCAGGCTTCAAGCCAAGGGTTAGGCTACAAGTCAAGGGTCAGGCTTCAAGCCAAGGGTCAGGCTACAAGTCAAGGGTTAGGCTACAAGTCAAGGGTCAGGCTACAAGTCAAGGGTCAGGCTACAAGTCAAGGGTCAGGCTACAAGTCAAGGGTCAGGCTTCAAGTCAAGGGTCAGGCTTCAAGTCAAGGGTCAGGCTTCAAGTCAAGGGTCAGGCTACAAGTCAAGGGTCAGGCTTCAAGTCAAGGGTCAGGCTTCAAGTCAAGGGTCAGGCTTCAAGCCAAGGGTTAGGCTACAAGTCAAGGGTCAGGCTTCAAGCCAAGGGTCAGGCTACAAGTCAAGGGTTAGGCTACAAGTCAAGGGTCAGGCTTCAAGCCAAGGGTCAGGCTACAAGTCAAGGGTCAGGCTTCAGGTCAAGGGTCAGGCTTTACTCCAAATATGGTCATAGAACAGGATCTGTGTTAAGATGTTCAAACACCAACTGGACACACACACACATTGCAAGGCGTGAAGTCTGCATTAACCACACGTACTTGTGGCAAAACAAACACGCTCTGATAATGTAAGCATTGCCTTTTAAATGCGTCCACTCACCCACTCAGCCACCCACTCAGCTACCACCCACCCACTCAGCTACCACCCACCCACTCACCCACTCACCTACCCACTCACCCACTCACCAACTCAGCTACCACCCACCCACTCAGCTACCACCCACCCACCCACTCACCCACTAACTATACCTACCATTTGCTACTAAGTGACGGTGACGTCACCACAGCGCCTGTGCCAGGCCAGGTGCACTTTGAGCCCACGTGAAGTGTCGAAGGCTCGCTGCTGACAGGAGGTCTCGGGACAGACCCAGGTGCCATGGGTCGAATGACTGAGACGACTGGCCGATAGCAACACCTGTACCCCCCTACTGTTCCAACTTGCTGAATTTTAGCCTCCGGGCGCTCCGCTGGTTGTTGTGAGCGTCGCTCCTCCGCCCTCCATTGTTGTTGGAGGGCGACTGCCTCCAACTGCCCAGTAGCGTCCTTCACGAGCCTCCTCCACAGAGGCCGATCTTGACACTGCTGGTACCGGTCATCGGCAAGTCCACTCAGCTCCACGTCCTCCCGTACCGCATCAGCTCCATCTCATCTCCAGCCCATGTCGTGCCCATTTAACCCCCTCTATGCGGCCAAACAGAAGCTGTTTGGGCATGCGGTGACTGGGCATGCGGGCTACATGACCCGGCCAACTCAGCCTTGCCTGCCGGAGGAGCTCACTGATGGAAATGTGCCCAGATCTTTCTATGATTTGTGAGCTCCTCACACAATCCAGCCTGCTGGTCAAACCCAGGATGGATCGTAGGGAAGGCAGTCTGAATGTTTCTAACCGGCGCAGCTGTTCCATTAGAGGGGGGTCCACGTTTCGCAAGCGTATTTTCACTCACCCACTCACTCATTCACTCAACGAACTCACTCAACCACCCACTCACTCAGTCACTCAGCCACCCACCCAGCCACTCACCCACCCACTCACTCACGTCACACATCCACACACACCGGAGCCCTTGGCTCCCCAGTGGCGACAGAGAGGGGGCCCCCCACACGGGAGGCTTTTCTAGCGACCTGCCTTCTTCGATGGTTCCGCACTTGGCGTCTCTCTTGCGCACTCGCTTCTTTGGTATCTTCTGGAAGGCGGCAAACTCCACCACGGCCGGGAACTCTTGGCCTGAGAGGCGTGGAGCAGGAGCAGCAGCAGCAGCAGCCACACAAGAGCGCAGTTAAAAGTAAAACATTTTTTTCGTAACTATTTTTACCAGGTAAGGCCCACCATCACCACCAACGACACCACCACCATCAACGCCACCTCCACCAACGACACCACCACCAACACCACCACCATCAACACCACCTCCACCAACAACACCACCACCAACACCACCACCATCAACGCCACCTCCACCAAGGCCATCGCCAACACTACCATCCACCACCGCCACCATTCACCATTAACCCCACCACCATCAACACCACCACCACCGCCATCTTCAGCGCCGCCATCACAAAAACACGAAGAACAACCCAGAGCCCAGGCCTACTGATGGTATCATAGGCCTTGACCAGGTCAATAAAGCAAAAATGTAGGTCTTGCTGGAATTCCCTACACCTCTGCTGGAGCAGACGGACAGAAAATATGACATCTGTGCAGGACCGCCCTTTCCTGAAACCGCATTGGGGCTCCGCAAGCCTCTCCTCAGCGTGCCTGGCAAAGCGATGTTGAATAATCCTTGCCACGACCTTTCCCAGCACACTGAGGAGTGAGATTCCCCTGTAATTGTTAGAGTCTATGCGGTTCCTCTTCTTAAAGAGGGGGACCACCAGGGCATCCTTCCAATCCAGCGGAAACCGTCCAGTGATCCAACTGTTGTTATGATGTCATGTAGGGCAGTCTGTGCACAAACGCCACCCTCCCTCAGCATTTCGCTTAGGAGATCATCTCTGTCCGGTCCCTTTCCTGGTCTCAGACAGATGGCACCTCAGCCAGCCACTCACAGGGGGTGACATCTTCTCCCAATATTTGAGGCACTGCAGCTTCGGCAGGGTCATCTCCACTTTGTCCCATGTTGTTTTCCAGGCTGAGGAATTTCCCCTCCCCCAGGACCTCACAGAAATGCTCAGCAAATCTGCAAACTTGTTCCTGGGGGTCAGCGATTGGATCACCGTCTTTTCCCCTGATGATGGTAATAGGAGTGGCGCTGCAGGTTACTTTTTTATGGAATTAAAGAGCGATTTGTGATCGCGGGCCATTGAGGCAGACTCCATCTCCTCAGCAACCCGCGACCACAACCCATCCTTGCAGCACCTCACGGCTCTCCGAGCCTCCAAGCAAAGGTTGCGGTGAGCCTCCTCATTCTCCGACGTGGGATGCTGTAGCCGATGAAAGTGGGATGCTGTAGCCGATGAAAGTGGGCCTGTCGCTTTTTCTCAGCCAGCTTGACCACCTCCTCTGTCAGCCAGGGTCTCTGGGGAGGTCTGGACCGTGTACCCAAAGCAGCCATTGCAGCTGCATGAGCCACAGTCCTAAACATCGCCCATTTCCCCTCGACATCAGGAGTTGGGGACGATGCAAACCCCAGCCGCAAGCGATGATCATCAGCTAGCTGAGACCAGGTCACTAAGGGTTTGAATGGGGTCCTGGGTGTACACCCATCACCGGAGTGGAAGAATGGCAGGCGCATCTTACAGATGACAAGTCGATGGTCAGTGGGCAGATCAGCTCCATGGTAGGTCCTGGTGTTAAGGACATGGGCCCGCATCCGCTTTTCCGTCACTATGTAGTCCAGCAGATGTTCTTGCTTGGACCCGGCATGCATCTATGATGTTGTGTGGATGCGCTGATGCCGGAACAGCGTGTTGGTAATTACAAGCCCATGGGCTGCACAAAAATCTAGCAGCCTCCTGCCGTTGTTATTGAGCTGATCTGGCCCATGCCTTCTAATCACTCCAGACCAGGAGCCAGCATCAGGACCAACTTGGGCATTGAAGTCACCCAACAAGATGACTATCCCAAGGGGCCACTTTGGCTAGCACCTGTGACAGGTGGTCATAGAAGGCATCTGACTCATCGGCCTTGCCTGCTCCCTCCATGGCTATTCGTCTTCGGTGCAGGCATAAGTAACCACGACCACCACTCCTCGCCTCTGGTTGATGGGAAGGCGAGCCCAAATATCCTGGGGCTTACAGCGGTCCCACACCTCACCGCCACGCTCCCACGCCCCCTTCATTCTTTTGTTCAGAATAAAGAGCCACTCCCTGTTGTTTGGCAGTCCTCCTGCCCCGAGAAGAGGACTGTCCACCCCTCATGGTGGCAGGAGCCAGAGCCAATCCCACCGGACCTCCTGAATACCACAGAAACCCAGGCGGGTACCGGTCCAGGCTCCCGACAGGGGAGTGGCAGCCTCTCCTCCGCAGTGAGCGTTTGAACATTCCACGTGGCCACACGTAGCGGTTTTTTGAATTTGGCGGAGCCATTAGATTGAATCCTTACCCTTGGGGCACCAAGGGTAAGGATTCAATCTAATGGCTCCGCCAAATGGGGTTTGGCCGGGGTCTCTGGCACAAGCTTAATAAGTTATGCATCGTAGTTTAGCGTAGTTAATTTAAGTTGGAGGGGTTACCAGCCCCTCGCACCCATCCAGAGCCTCCGTTTATACCGCTGTGGTGGTTACAACGCCATGAAGGGAAGGGCCAATCTAAGTTGGCCCTCCCCCCATTGCAGTGCTCACCACAGCGTTGCCGTCCGGCACCACGAGGAGGTAGGGGGTTGTTTTTTGCTCAGGACCCCCAACACCACCACCACCGCCTCCACCGCCACCGCCCGCTTACCACCACCACCACCACCACCGCCGCCACCGCCGCCGCCACCGCCACCACCACCGCCACCACCACCACCACCACATCCGCCCGGCTGCGTGCCTGGTGGATGTCACGGCCCCAGCCACCCTGATCAGTCACCTTTCTCGTTGATGAAGACGTAGCCGTCAAACCGATCCCTGAACTCCAGGACGCCCTCGCTCGACGAGAAATTGATGTAGGCCCGGCAGAATGCATGTGGACGCAGGCTGGAGAGACACAGGGGGTTGTTACAAAAGGGGGTTACACAAGGGGGTTACACAACAGGGTTGTTACACAAGGGGGTTACACAAGAGGGTTGTTACACAAGGGGGGTTACACAAGGGGTTTACACAAGGGGGTTACACAATGGGTTGTTACACAAGGGGGTTACACAAGGGGTTGTCACACAAGGGGGTTACACAAGGGGGTTACACAAGGGGGTTACACAAGAGGAGTTACACAAGGGGGCTACACAAAGGGGTTGCACAAGAGGGTTACACAAGAGGGTTACACAAGGGGGGTTACACAAGGGTTGTTACACAAGGGGGTACACAAGGGGGTTACACAAGGGGGGGGGGGGGGGGGGTACACAAGGGGGGGTTACACAAGGGGTTACACAAGGGGGGTTACACAAGAGGGGTTACACAAAGGGTGTTACACAAGGGGGTTGTTACACAAGGGGGTTCCACAAGAGGGGTTACACAAGGGGGGGGGGGGGGGGGGGTTACACAAAGGGGTTGCACAAGGGGGTTACACAAGGGGTTACACAAGAGGGTTACACAAGGGGTTGTTACACAAGGGGTCGTACACAAGGGAGGGGTTACACAAGGGGCGTTACACAAGAGGGTTACACAAGAGGGTTGCACAAGGGGGTTACACCAAGGGTGTTACACAAGAGGGTTACACAAGGAGTTGTTACACAACGGGGGTTACACAAGGGGGTTACACAAGCAGGGTTGTTACATCAAGGGGGTTTACACAAGGGGGTTTACACAAGGGGTTACACAAGGGGTTGTTACACAAGGGGTTACACAAGGGGGTTACACAAGGGGTTGTTACACAAGGGGGTTACAACAAGGGGGTTACACAAGAGGAGTTACACAAGGGGGGTTACACAAGGGGGTTGCACAAGAGGGTTACACAAGAGTGGTTACACAAGGGGGTCACACAAGGGTTGTTACACAAGGGGGTTACACAAGGGGGTTACACAAGGGGGGGTTACACAAGGGGGGGGGTTACACAATGGGGGTTACACAGGGGGGTTACACAAGAGGGGTTACACAAAGGGGTGTTACACAAGGGGGTTGTTACACAAGGGGGTTCCACAAGAGGGGTTACACAAGGGGGGGTTACACAAAGGTGGTTGCACAAGGGGGGTTACACAAGGGGTTACACAAGAGGGTTACACAAGGGGTTGTTACACAAGGGGTAAGTTACACAAGGGAGAGGGTTACACAAGGGGGTTTACACAAGAGGGTTACACAAGGGGATTACACAAGGGGGTACAACAAGGGGGGTTACCAAGGAGGTTGTTTACAGCAAGGGGTTACAAAAGGGGGTTACACAAGGGGTTACACAAGGGGTTGTTACACAAGGGGGGTTAGCCACAGGGGGTTACACAAGGGGGGGTTACACAAGGGGGGTTACACAAGGGGGTTACACAAGGGGGGGTTACACAAGAAGGGTTACACAAAGGGGTGTTACACAAGGGGGTTAGTTACCAAGAGGGTTCCACAAGAAGGGTTACACAAGGGGGTGGGGCTGGGGTTACACAAAGGGGTTGCACAAGGGGGTTACACAAAGGGGTTACCAGAGGGTTACACAAGGGGTTAGTTAACAATGGGGTTGTTACACAAGGAGGGGTTTACACAAGGGGGTTACACAAGAGGGTTACACAAGAGGGTTACACAACGGGGTTAAGCACAGGGGGTTACACAAGGAGTTGTTACACAAGGGGTTACACAAGGGGGTTACACAAGAGGGTGTTACACAAGGGGGGTTACACAAGGGGGTTCAAAGGGGTTGTACACAAGGGGTTGTTACACAAGGGGGTTACACAAGGGGGTTACACAAGGGGTTGTTACACAAGGGGGTTACACAAGGGGGTTACACAAGAGGAGTTACACAAGGGGGTTACACAAGGGGGTTGCACAAGAGGGTTACACAAGAGGGTTACACACGGGGGTTACACAAGGGTTGTTACACAAGGGGGGTTACACAAGGGGGTTACACAAGGGGGGTTACACAAGGGGGTTACACAAGGGGGTTACACAAGGGGGGTTACACAAGAGGGGTTACACAAAGGGGTGTTACACAAGGGGGTTGTACACAAGGGGGTTCCACAAGAGGGGTTACACAAGGAGGGGTACACAAAGGGGTTGCACAAGGGGGTTACACAAGGGGTTACACAAGAGGGTTACACAAGGGGTTGTTACACAAGGGGTAGTTACACAAGGGAGGGGTTACACAAGGGGGTTACAAAGAGGGTACACAAGAGGGTTAACAAGGGGGTTACACAGGGGGTTACACAAGGAGTTGTTACAGAAGGGGGTTACACAAGGGGTTACACAAGGGCTTACGCAAGAGGGGTTACACAAGGGGTTACAAAGGGAGTTACACAAGGGTTGGTACACAAAGGGGTTACACAAGGGGGTTACACAAGGGGTTGTTACACAAGGGGTTGTTACACAAGGGAGGGGTTACACAAGGGGGTTACACAAGGGGTTACACAAGGGGGTTACACAAGGGGGTTACAAAAGGGGGGTTAGACAAGGGGGTTACACAAGGGGGTTACACGAGGGGGGGGTTACAAAAGTGGGGTAACAAGGGGGTTACACAAGGGGGGTACACAAGGGTTGTTACACAAGGGGGTTACACAAAGGGGTTACACAAGGGGGTTACACAAGGGGTTGTTACACAAGGGGTTGTTACACAAGGGGTTGTTACACAAGGGAGGGGTTACACAAGGGGGTTACACAAGAGGGTTACACAAGGGTTGTCCACAAGGGGGTTACACAAGGGGTTACACAGGGGGTTACACAAGGGGTTACACAAGGGGTTGTTACACAAGGGGGTTACACAAGGGGTTTACACAAGGGGGTTACACAAGGGGGTTACACAAGGGGTTACACAAGGGTGTTACACAAGGGGGTTACACAAGGGGGTTACACAAGTGGGTTACACAAGGGGGTTACACAAGGGGTTGTTACACAAGGGGGTTACACAAGGGGGTGTTACACAAGGGGTTGTTACACAAGGGGGTTACACAAGGGGGTTACAAAAGGGGGGTTAGACAAGGGGGTTACACAAGGGGGTTACACGAGGGGGGGTTACAAAAGTGGGGTTACACAAGGGGGTTACACAAGGGGGGTCACAAGGGTTGTTACACAAGGGGGGTTACACAAGGGGGGTTACACAAGAGGGTTACACAAGGGGGTTACACAAGGGGTTGTTACACAAGGGGGTTACACAAGGGGGTTGTTACACAAGGGGGTTACACAAGGGGGTTGTTACACAAGGGGTTACACAAGAGGGTTACACAAGAGGGTTGTTACACAAGGGGGGTTACACAAGGGGGGTACACAAGGGGGGGTTACACAGAGGTTGTTACACAAGAGGTTGTTACACAAGGGGTTACACAAGGGTTGTTACACAAGGGGGTTACACAAGGGGGTTACACAAGGGGGTTACACAAGAGGGTTACACAAGAGGGTACACAGAGGGGTACACAAGGGTTGTTACACAAGGGGGTTACACAAGGGGGTTGTTACACAAGGGGGTACAACAAGAGGTTGTTACACAAAGAGGTTGTTACACAAGGGGGTTACACAAGGGGTTGTTACACAAGGGGGTTACACAAGGGGGTTACACAAGGGGGTTACACAAGGGGGTTACACAAGGGTTGTTACACAAGGGGGTTACACAAGGGGGTTGTTACACAAAGGGGTTACACAAGGGGGTACACAAGCGGGTACACAAGGGGTTGTTACACAAGGGGGTTACACAAGGGGTGTTACACAAGGGGGTTACACAAGGGGGTTACACAAGGGGGTTGCTGCACAAAGGGGTTACACAAGAGGGTTACAAAGGGGGTTGTTACACTAGGGGGGTTACACAAGGGGGGGTTACACAAGAGGGTTACACAAGGGGTTGTTACACAAGGGGGTTACACAAGGGGTTGTTACACAAGGGGGTTACATAAGGGGGTTACACAAGAGGGTTACACAAGGGTTGTTACACAAGAGGGGTACACAAGGAGGTTACACAAGGGGGTTACACAAGGGTTGTTACACAAGGGGGTTACACAAGGGGTTACACAAGGGGGGTTACACAAGGGTTGTTACACAAGGGGTTACACAAGGGTTGTTACACAAGGGGGGGTTACACAAAAGGGGTTACACAAGGGGGTGTTACACAAGGGGGTTACACAAGGGGGTTGTTACACAAGGGGGTTACACAAGAGGGGTTACACAAGGGGGGGGGTTACACAAAGGGGTTGCACAAGGGGGTTACACAAGGGGTTACACAAGAGGGTTACACAAGAGGGTTACACAAGGGGTTGTTACACAAGGGGTTGTTACACAAGGGAGGGGTTACACAAGGGGGTTACACAAGAGGGTTACACAAGGGGGTTACACAAGGGGGTTACACAAGAGGGGTTACACAAGAGGGCTTACACAAGGGGGTTACACAAAGGGGTTACACAAGGGGGTTACACAAGGGGTTACACAAGGGGTTGTTACACAAGGGAGGGGTTACACAAGGGGGTTACACAAGAGGGTTACACAAGAGGGTTACACAAGGGTTGTTACACAAGGGGGTTACACAAGGGGGTTACACAAGGAGTTGTTACAGAAGGGGGTTACACAAGGGGGTTACACAAGGGGCTTACGCAAGAGGGGTTACACAAGGGCGTTACACAAGGGAGTTACAAGGGGTTGGTACACAAAGGGGTTACACAAGGGGGTTACACAAGGGGTTGTTACACAAGGGGTTGTTACACAAGGGAGGGTTACACAAGGGGTGTTACACAAGGGGGGGTTACACAAGGGGGTTACACAAGGGGGTTACACAAGGGGGTTACAAAAGGGGGTTAGACAAGGGGGTTACACAAGGGGGTTACACGAGGGGGGGTTACAAAAGGGGGTTACACAAGGGGGTTACACAAGGGGGGTACACAAGGGTGTTACACAAGGGGTTACACAAAGGGGTTACACAAGGGGGTTAC